CTGTTGGCAATTTATAGAAAAACGCATAGTTATGACAATATTCATGGCAATGATCATGTATATAGGCATCACATCTGAGACAAGTAGACTGACCGCTATACAGCATGCATCTAGGGTATTAAGTATAAAACAGAGTAACGCCTTAAGCAAGATGACATGATATAGATAAAGTAAATCCAGGTAATATGAATAAAGCCCATTATTTTATCCTTAGTGGCAACAATACAAATACATGTTTGTTCTCTTTCTGTCACTGGGATAGAGCACCGCAAGATTGAACCCATCACAAAGCATCTCTCCCATTGCAAGATAAATCAATCTAGTTGACCAAACTAAATGGATAGATCAGAGAGAAATACAAAGGTATAACAATCATGCATAATAAAGTTTAGAAAAGACTCCATTAATATTCATAAATATTCAGATCATAAACCCACAATTCATTGGATCCCAACAAACACACTGCAAAAGAGAATTACATCGGATAGAACTCTAAGAAGGTCGAGGAGAACATGGTATTGAAGATCAAAGAGAGAGAAGAAGCCATCTAGATACTAGCTATGGACTCGTATGTCTGTGGTGAATGATACGTCTCCAATGTATCTATAATTTTTGATTGTTCCATGTTGTTATATTATCAATCTTGGATATTTTATAATTATTTTATAGTCATTTTATATAATTTTTTGGTACTAACCTATTGACATAGTGCCAAGTGTGAGTTGCTGTTTTTTCCATGTTTTACATCGCAGAAAATCAATATCAAACAGAATCCAAATGCCATGAAACTTTATGGAGAATTTTTATGGGTCAAAAGGAACACAACGTATAGCTCGCATTCTTCCCGGTGAGCCTGCGCACTCAAGGACAGCTTGCACGCCTGCGCACCGGATGGCGCTCGCACGCCTCCTGTTCAGTCAAGGTCAAGCAGCTGTCCGCACAGCACCTCCTACAGCCATTAAAACCAAGACACGTGGCGTCATGTGAATGGTTAACATAATTTCGGATTCACTAGAATTTAAAAAGCAGGCATCTCAATATTTTTCCGGCAATCAACGGTGCCCCAATGTTTGAAATTCATTCCCATTTCTTGCATGGGACCTAAGCATGCACCCAAGGACACATATTTGATTTTTCAATCAATTCATATGCACTAGAGCATGTGCATGTAGTTTAAATTTGAATTATGCACATAAATGCATTGAAAACTTAGTTAATGCATAAAAATATCCAAACGAACCCCGAAAAATCATAAAAATTCACACAACACTCCTGTCGTTCTATGTTGACACGAGAAAAAAATTTGAAAGCAATAAGAGGCAATGGATATCTTTTCGTCCACAAAGGTGGAACGTTCCCTACCGAAAACCATCATGCTTGTTGTGAGAATCTCCGGTTTGTGAGAAGCATATACCCAAACCTGCCCCAAATGAGACAAAATTTGTACCACGGCATGTTGATGCCGCTCCATGATAGCATGCCAAGTTTCATGAATTTCAGATGAGTTTTGGATTTACTAGAATTTAAAAACCATGCATCTCAGTGTTTTGCCGGCAATCAACGGTGCCCCGGTGTTTGAAATTCATTCTCATTTCTTGCATGAGAGCCAAGCATGCACCCAAGGACACATATTTGATTTTTCAACCAATTTATATGCACTGGAGCATGTGCATGTAGTTCAAATTTGAATTATGCATATAAATGCATTGAAAACTCAGTTAATGCATAAAAATGTCCAAACGAACCCTGAAAAATCACAAAAAATCACACAACACTCCTGTTGTTCTATGTTGACACGAGAAAAAAAATTGAAAGCAATAAGAGGCAATGGATATCGTTTCGTCCATAAAGGTGAGATGTTCCCTACCGAAAACCATCATGCTTGTTGTGAGAAGCTTCGGTTTGTGAGAAGCATATACCCAAAACCTGCCCCAAATGGGACAAAATTTGTACCACGGCATGTTGATGCTGCTCCATGATAGCATGCCAAGTTTCATGAATTTCAAATGAGTTTTGGATTTACTATAATTTAAAAACCATGCATCTCAATGTTTTGCCGGCAATCAACGGTGCCCCGGTGTTTGAAATTCATTCACATTTCTTGCATGGGACCTAAGCATGCACCCAAGGACACATATTTGATTTTTCAACCAATTTATATGCACTGGAGCATGTGCATGTAGTTCACATTTGAATTATGCACATAAATGCATTAAAAACTCAGTTAATGCATAAAATGTCCAAACGAACCCCGAAAAATCAGAAAAATTCACACAACACTCCTGATGTTTTATGTTGACACGAGAAAAAAAATGAAAGCAATAAGGGGCAATGGATATCGTTTCGTCCACAAAGGTGAGGCGTTCCCTACTGAAAACCATCATGCTTATTGTGAGAAGCTCCGGTTTGTGAGAAGCATATACCCAAACCTGCCCCAAATGGGACAAAATTTGTACCACGGCATGTTGATGCCGCTCCATGATAGCATGCCAAGTTTCATGAATTTCAGACGAGTTTTGGATTACTAGAATTTAAAAACCATGCATCTCAATGTTTTGCTGGCAATCAACGGTGCCCCAGTGTTTCAAATTCATTCCCATTTATTGCATGGGACCTAAGGATGCATCCAAGGACACAGATTTGATTTTTCAACCAATTTATATGCACTGGAGCATGTGCATGTAGTTCAAATTTGAATTATGCACATAAAATGCATTGAAAACTCAGTTAATGCATAAAAATGTCCAAAGGAACCCTGAAAATCACAAAAAATCACACAACACTCCTGTTGTTCTATGTTGACACGAGAAAAAAAATTAAAAGCAATAAGAGGCAATGGATATCGTTTCGTCCATAAAGGTGGGATGTTCCCTACCGAAAACCATCATGCTTGTTGTGAGAAGCTCCGGTTTATGAGAAGTATATACCCAAATCTGCCCCAAATGGGACAAAATTTGTAGAACGGCATGTTGATGGCGCTTCATGATAGCATGCCAAGTTTCATGAATTTCAGACGAGTTTTGGATTTATTAGAATTTAAAAACTATGCATCTCAATGTTTTGCCGGCAATCAACGGTGCCCCGGTGTTTGAAATTCATTCCCATTTCTTGCATGCGACCTAAGCATGCACCCAAGGACACAGATTTGATTTTTCAACCAATTTATATGCACTAGAGCATGTGCATGTAGTTCAAATTTGAATTATGCACATAAAATATATTGAAAACTCAGTTAATGCATAAAAATGTCCAAACGAACCCTGAAAAATCACAAAAAATCACACAACACTCCTGTTGTTCTATGTTGACACGAGAAAAAAAACTGAAAGCAATAAGAGGCAATGGATATCGTTTCGTACCCAAAGGTGGGACGTTTCCTACCGAAAACCATAATGCTTGTTGTGAGAAGCTCCGGTTTGTGAGAAGCATATACCCAAACCTGCTCCAAATGGGACAAAATTTGTACCACGGCATGTTGATGCCGCTCCATGATAGCATGCCGCTCCATAGCATGTCCATTTTTTTATTGTTTCATGCTACCATATTATTACTTTCGTATACTTTTTATGCCAATTTATATTATTTTTCTAGACTAATCTATTAATTCAGTGTCTGGTCTCAGTTGTTGTTTTCTAGAGAATATCTATGGAGGTCAAAAACTTCTGAGAATTTAATACGGGGTTTTCAGGGCACGGAGGTTCCAGAAAAGCACCGGAGGGGCACGAGAGGAGCCATAGGGGCCCCACGCGGCCTGGTGGTGTGACCAGGGCCTTGGCCAATGACTATTCCATCACCACGGTGGCAACCAAAGGCAGGCACCCACCCTACAACTACAAGCGAATACACCTCCTTCCTCCCCCACTTCGGCTGATAACATCGATGAAGGAGAGAGGAAAGGGGGTGGTGGTGGTTGAATTTAACGGCCCTGGGCCGAACTTCGGTGGAGATAGGAAAGGGGGAAAAGAGAGAGCAAGTCGGTAGTTTGTAGTTTGTTGATGCAGAGTGGGTTGGCTAGCTATCCAGACCGGTTGTGAGATAGTTTGATCCAAGAAACCATCTCAACATTTGTTGTATTCATAGGTTAGATATTAGTGAACTGATAAAGGTTAATTGAAGAAATCTACCCGGATCAGATGTAACTTGACACACTTCTCGAATAAGTTCTATTTGGATGTTGCCATTTCTAAATCAATCTCGTGTGGGAGAAGTCTGTTTATCATGTAGACATATGTGTAGAAATCTCACTTGATAACGAAAAGACCGAGGAGAGACGCATACTTACTCTTTAATTGGTTTTACCAATGCATCAGAACTGATTTAAATGTTTTTACACGCATACGTACTCTTAAATTAAATGCACCAAATAAAACCAAAGATCGACAAAGTGCATGTACGTACCAAAAATCAAAGATTTCTCACCCGTCGATCGGAACCGCAGCAGCGGCCACAATTTGAATCGAAATTCGAGAACCCCCCCGTGTACAGCACCGTTTGCAGCTGACCCAAACCCAAACCCAAACCTAACCGTGGTTACCATCCCACCTGACCCAAACCGCTCTACCATGGTTACTTTACCAAAGCAAACCAGGTGCGGACAGCCGCACAGTTTGCAGAAAAGCCCCTCGCGCCGCAGCGCATTCCCGAGGACGCCCCCCCGCGCGCGCGTTCTGATCCGCGCACCCGAAGCGAACCCAGATATTTCTCCTCTGTACGACGGCATTTTACACGCCGGTCCTGACGGAATCGCGTAATTCGGGCCACATCCCCCTCCCTCTCCCACGTACGGACCACGCCATGCGCTCACCACCCCGCTGGGCTAGGGTTTCGCCCACTCGCTCACCACCCCGCTCCGCCTATAAAAGCCGCCTCGTCCGCGCCGATCCTCCCACCAACTCACCGCCGTCCTCATCCACTCGCTCCTTTCTTCCTCTCCAATCCACCGCCGCCGCCACCCTAGCCTAGCCCTCCCACCACCACCACCGCTCTCCCTCTCTCCCGCCATGGCCTACCGCGTAGGCGGAGGCCGGGGAGGCCGCGGCGACCAGCAGTACGGCGGAGGCCGGGGCGGTGCGCCGGCTGGAGGAGGCCGCGGGGGCGGCCGCGGCCCCACGGGCTTCGTATGGCCGCCTCCGGGCGCTCCGTCGGCGCCGCGTCCCGCCGCGCCGGCGCAGTACGCGCCGGCCGTCGCCATCTACCACAACCCCAACGCCACGGGGCCGCACCAGGGCGCCTACCAGCACGGCGTCGTCGTCCGCAACCCCGCCCCGGCACCCTACGTCACCGTCCGCGCGCCTTCGCCCCCGGTCACCATCCGCGCGCCCTCGCCCACGCCGGCTACCATCCGCGCTCCTGCTCCGACGCCCTCGCCGGCCGCGGCCCCGTTCCAGCCGACCCGCGTCTCCGCCCCCGCTCCCGCTCCGCCGACCCCCGCCGCCGTCGCCAAGGAGCTGGAGCAGAAGCTCTTCGTCACGGAGACCGCGCTGGCGCCGCCCGCCGCCGCGGCCGCGGCGGCGGTCGCGGCGACGCAGGTGGGGCAGCCCGAGGCGGAGAAGGCGCCCGATGTGGACTTGGCGCCGGTGTCCAAGAAGGGGCTCGCCCACCCCGCGCGGCCCGGAGCCGGCACGGTGGGCAAGAAGGTGATGATCCGCGCCAACCACTTCCTCGTCAACGTCGCCGACAACAACCTCTTCCACTACGATGTGAGCTGAACCCCTTCCTCCTCCCTACGTACCATCTCCGTTCACGTACTAGCTAGTTCTTGTTCAGATCTGGCGTTCCATGCATGTTGTCGTATCGTACGTCGTTTTTACGTTGTCCGCGCTAGCTTGCTCGTAGATCTACCAGTATACGATTGTGATGCTGCAGTTTTCTCCCGCTCTGCTTTCGTTTTTCTCCATGCGACGTGCGTCTCCGACCTCATCCGTCCATCCATGGATGCTTGGTCGAGCGCTGTCGCTACACGTACGCCTCGGTGCTTCTCTCTTTTGCCGTTACAAAATCTTGCGTTTTCTCCCGCTACATGCATGGATGGTTTCTCCTGTTCTCATGCATGAACAGTGTTAGTTCTTGGAAAGCGAGACAGAAAACTAATTTCCTCCATGCATGCAAAAGCCATCCAGCAGACAGTAGCTAGCTCTTCTTGTTTCGGCTCTGTCGTTGTCATCTTGGAAACTAGCAGTAGTAGATGTAGACAATTTTTCGGCAACTTTGCGGTCAAGGCTGCAGATTCTTGGGATCCGTTTTGGCTATAGACGGCAGGGGGTCGCCGTGAGATCCCGTCCCATGCAAAGCCACGTACCTTTTTCTTTCTTTGATTCATCTCCTGTGTCTTTTCCCGGCGTTCTTCTTTTGTGAAAGTGTTTTCGGGGATGGTCTTGGTCTTGTGGTTTCCGTCTGGTCCTTGTCCTCGTTCGGGGACAGAAGGGCAAAGCAACGAACGTACCATCCGTCCGTTGGGACATGGCAGACGCATCCGTCCGTCCGTGTACGTGTCTTCCATACATTTTGGGCAAAGCAGGAGGCCTGTTGGTGTTGTTGCCCTTGCCACCTTTGTTTGTGATTCCTCTGGCTCTGCCCTGCCTGCATGCATGAGGTCCCGCGGCAGCTTTTGGTTTTGTCTTTGGTTCAAAGCATGCAACGCCGAGGCCGTGCTCGGATCTCCTGTGTCGCGCACCTCGAGCGCAATTCCGTGGCTCTCTGTGTTTGCATCTAGTCCGTCAACTTTCTTTTTTGGGGGAGATTCTTTTCCCCCTCTCGGTCCAGCCTTGGACGTTTCCTCTTTGTGTATGTATGTGGGTGGAACAACAGTGGTAGATCTGTTTTTTTTTCGCTGAATGGTCGACACGTACGGGGATTTAAATATTAGTACTGTTTTTGACGTGAGGTTTAATATTATTGTTTTTCAGCCTTTTACAGTGAGCTCTATTTTGCTTTAAAATCTCATTCTCTGCTCCTACATGTATATGCGTACCTCCTTTGTTGCCAAACTATTTTATATTCCAAATGCAAAAAAACTACTTTATATTCGTCTAGTACATTTATATATGGTAAATTGGCGACGAATTATTTTGCTACTCCTCGTAACAAGTACCCCTACAGTATCTGGTATACAGTCCGTAGTTCCTTTCCCTTTTTTAAGTACATATATACAGTTCGATGCAAAAAAAAAGTACATATATACAGTACGCAGGTCCTTTTTTTTACTAGACGCAGTACGCAGGTCAGGTCCTTTTTTCTATACTATACACACGGTACACAGGTCCGCTTATTGTATTCTGTACCGCATGATTGCACCAAGATTCGTGCCCTCGCACCCACCCCCACCATGCCGTCGCAGCCTCCCACTCAACCCCTCCTCACCCGGACGGAGCGCCGCCGCCCCTTCTCCGCCTCCGGCCTGCTCGCCCGCGGCCCGTCAGGAACCCTAGCATGGCCGTGCCAGAAAATTACTCTACTGTGCTGTGCCCCCTTGAGTATTGGGAGTTCGATTTGGGATCCAGACTTCTTCCCCCACTTGATTGACTCTATACTACAGGGCTTCTTCCGTTTCAACTGGATTTTTTTCTGGTCTCTGTAAGTCGAAATGGAGGCCGGCACATGGTATGTCTTGCCGTTTGCCTGCTACATTTCCAGTCCTGCGATGCCACTAGCAGCTAATTTCGTTTATTGCCTAATTTTGGTTTACTGGTTTCTTAAGATCCGCTAGTTTTTCTTTTCCCTCACAGATTGAATGAAGTATAGCATAAGTACTGAGAATTAAAATATTTCATTTGATTTTTTTTAAATTCATTGGACACTAATCAGAGGGCTAATCGTCTCTATTCTGTGTACTGAATGTAGAACAGAGTCTCTCTTGTTTGTGCATACATACTGATGTTGAAATGTGTTGCTGTAGGTCTCCATTAACCCGGAGTCAAAATCAAGGGCTGTGAACAGGGAGGTACTCAGTGAGCTAATCAAGTTGCACGGCAAGACATCCCTTGGGGGCAAATTGCCTGCCTACGATGGAAGAAAGAGTCTTTACACTGCAGGCTCACTCCCTTTTGAGTCTGAGGAGTTTTCTGTTACACTGGTTGATCCCGAAAAGAAAGACAAAGAAAAGTATGATTGGATTCTTTACCTTCAATCTTGTCCAACTTGATTACCCATTGTATTTGTTTTTTAGCTACTGACTTGTTCCCTCTTCATTTGCAGGGCTGAAAGGGAGTACAAGATCACCATTCGGATTGCTGGGAGGACAGACCTGTACCACCTCCAGCAGTTCCTCAAAGGAAGACAGAGGGATATGCCTCAAGAAACCATCCAAGTTCTTGATGTTGTCCTCAGGGAGTCACCATCCTGGAAGTATGGCATCCACTTTTCCGGCAGTTTCTTGCTATCAGTTTTTCTTCATCATCATACTAGCTAGTTCTGTAGAGCCCTAACACTGTTGCTGGCAATTCCTTTTCATTGCAGCTATGTCACAGTGTCCAGATCTTTCTTCTCCACCACCTTTGGTCACAGAGGAGACATTGGTGAAGGATTAGAGTGCTGGAGAGGTTACTACCAGAGCTTACGCCCAACCCAGATGGGGCTGTCACTCAATATAGGTACTCCTCTCCCCTCCCCTGTCTGTTACTGTTATCCGATTGCAGTGTGTCCTAGCCTTGTTTATCTGATGATCTGCACTTCATTTTTCAGACATATCTGCGACATCCTTCTTCAAGCCTGTGACCGTGGTCCAGTTTGTGCTAGAGTTCCTCAACTTACGTGATGCCTCGCGCCCTCTGACAGACAGGGACCGTGTTAAGGTACTATTCGTCTATGCTAAGCTAGTTTTAGAATTCATGTTATGTACATTGCACCATGTTATTGGCTGGAAATAGTTGACTAATCTCATCGTATGCACTATATATGCAGATAAAGAAAGCACTCCGTGGGGTGCGTGTCGAAACAAACCACCAGGAAGACCAAATCCGAAGATACAAGATAACAGGGATTACTCCTGTTCCCATGAGCCAGCTCATGTAAATAACTTCCCTCAAATGCTATAATATTTTCCATTATGTATTTTCTCTTTATGTTCTGGTCCAACTAATCAGGGTTGCTGGAATATTAAAAAGATGTGTAGTTGTATAGATTTTTGGCTTATTGCATCTTCATTGATGTTGGTGTGTCAGGAACTGGTTAGGGGATTAATTTTGTTTACAACATTCTTCCTGTGGCATATGCTTTTGATTTCTGCAGCATAGCAAGATCTGTTTGTGCCAAATTGTTTCCTGTTCACAGTTTTCCTTAGGAATGTCTAGACCACAGTTAACTTTTTAGCATCTATCCATGATTGTTATTCCCTTTCTAATAGCACTCTACTCATGTTGTTTTGTTTGTTGTTAGATTTCCTGTTGATGAGAGAGGAACAAGAATGTCAGTTGTTCAGTACTTCATGCAAAGATACAAATACAATCTGCAGTATACTTCTTGGCCCTGCTTGCAGTCTGGAAGTGATGCTCGGCCTGTGTATCTGCCTATGGAGGTATTGTGTCCATGCCTGCTTCGTCATATTTGAATTATGCATTGTTTGCTCATGGTTCTCTACAAATTGATTGTAGGCGTGCAAGATTGTTGAAGGGCAAAGGTACTCTAAGAAACTGAATGACAAGCAGGTCACCAACATACTTAGAGCTACCTGTCAACGTCCCCAGCAGAGGGAGCAAAGCATTCGTGAGGTATGTACCTGTTGTCAACTGCATTCTGGAAATACCTGCCCATGTCTTCTCGCATGTGGTAGTTCATTCCAATCTGTTCGAACTCATGTAGTTAGGAATGTCCTTTTCAAGGCATATTTGTCATGTTTGCCTGTAATGTGTAGTCTTTCTCATGACACTCTTTTTCACACTGTAGATGGTTCTGCACAACAAGTATGCTGAGGACAAGTTTGCTCAGGAGTTCGGGATCAATGTCTGCAGTGACCTGGTCTCTGTTCCAGCCCGTGTGCTGCCTCCCCCCATGGTAAGAATGCTGTATTTCCCTCCTTTCTCTGAGCTGCTTCACTAGAAGGATTTGTAGTAATTACATCCTTCATATGTGTTTCAGTTGAGATATCATGATTCTGGAAAGGAGAAAACTTGTGCGCCAAGTGTTGGACAGTGGAACATGATTAACAAGGTATTTCCCTGTTCATTGTCTTCACTCCCAATTTTACTATGCATTACTTTTTCTTGGAACTAAATACATGGAGAACCTGTTGTGCTTCTTCTTTGTTTGTTGTTAATGTCTTGGACAGGTCATTATTTTGTACTGTATGTAGCAACTCAAATTATTTTGCTTGATTGCATTTTATTGATCATGTAGTTTTCACACTAGTTACTTAAATTGAGAAACAGTTGAGCTTGTCTGTGACTTTGCTCGTCATTTTGTATGTAGTATATCGATGATGGTACAAATGATAGGTCTCATTTGAGTTTTTTTACTGCAGAAAATGATCAATGGAGGAATCATAGACAACTGGGCCTGTGTGAGTTTTTCACGCATGCGTCCTGAGGAGGTATACAGGTTCTGTTGTGATCTGATTCAGATGTGCAATATGACTGGAATGGTAAAAGGCTTGCATTTCTTTCCTGTTTCTCAGGCATTTATTATTTATGTGTGTATGGTATAGCTGACTGACTTGTGTTTTCCAACCCTGTAGTCTGTCAATCCAAGGCCACTTGTAGACAACCGATCAGCTAGCCCCAACCACATCGAGAATGCCTTGAGGGATGTATACAGGAGGACCACCGAAATGCTTGGAAAACAGGGAAGCGAAAAACAGCTACAACTGTTAATTGTAATCCTACCTGAAGTCAGTGGTTCTTATGGTATGCATATGGCTCCTCTGGTTAATCCCCTTCCACCTTCTCTTGGATTTCTGTAGATTTATGTGTGTGCCACATTTAATTTTGCAGGGAAAATCAAGAAGGTTTGTGAGACTGACCTTGGGATCGTGTCTCAGTGTTGCCTGCCAAGGCATGCTGCCAGACCGAACAAGCAATATTTGGAGAATGTTGCACTCAAAATCAATGTGAAGGTAACATAACCACCTGGTCTATGTTTTACGTTCAGTTTCCATGGAATGTTGATTCGTTGTCTACTTCGGTTTTTGTTGAATGTGATAATTCTGTGTCTTGACTAGGTCGGAGGACGCAACACAGTTCTGGAGAGAGCTTTTGTGCGAAATGGCATACCGTTTGTGTCCGAAGTCCCAACAATCATCTTTGGTGCTGATGTTACACACCCCCCACCTGGAGAGGACTCTGCATCATCAATTGCTGCGGTTAGTTCTTCCCCGTAGCTAACAGTTTGTCAACTCGTTATTTGTTTCTATCTGATTTTATCTTTCAAATGGAATTATCATCTTGATGCACATACCTGTTGAGTACAAATAGGCTTACCCGTTTCTTATATTGGATTGATGTAGGTGGTGGCATCAATGGACTGGCCAGAGATCACCAAGTACAGAGGTCTTGTCTCTGCCCAACCACACAGGCAGGAGATAATCGAAGACCTCTTCAGTGTCACCAAAGATCCGCAGAGGGGTAATGTCAATGGTGGCATGATCAGGTGAGTTTTGTGATTAGTCAGAGACAATTGCTAGCAATTGCCCTGTGGATCAACTGCGAACCTGACATAATTTTCTCTACAGGGAGTTGCTGATTGCCTTCCGCAGGAAGACAGGCCGGAGGCCCGAGAGGATACTCTTCTACAGGTGCGTGCACAAATTCATGATACTCTTTTCATCCTGTCCATTCAATGGAACTGCCTGACCGATCATTCTCATGTACAGGGATGGCGTAAGTGAAGGCCAATTCGGCCATGTTCTGCTTCATGAAATGGACGCAATCAGGAAGGTAAGCCTGCAGCATATGATTACGTGCAAATATCTGTTTTGTCTACCTCTTCTGATGTTATCCTTGGCTTTTCTCATTCTGATGATTCCTAATTTTGCTGTTGCAAGGCCTGCGCCTCGTTAGAGGAGGGGTATATGCCCCCAGTCACCTTTGTGGTTGTCCAGAAAAGGCATCACACCAGGCTATTCCCTGAGGTTCATGGGAGGCGTGATATGACCGACAAGAGTGGAAACATACTTCCAGGTTAGCAAATACACTGGTATTTCAATGTCACTGATTTACACCTATCTGCTACTTGTTGAAACATTGCTGACTGTGATTGGGTGCATTTCTGTTTCTGTTGTCCTGCAGGAACTGTGGTTGACCTCATGATTTGCCACCCTACGGAGTTTGATTTCTACTTGTGCAGCCATGCTGGCATTCAGGTAGACACTTTGTCCACATGTCCATTTGTTCCTATGCAGCTTATCTTCAGTGCTTGCATACTGAGTGTGTTTGCAAAATGCTCCTCAGGGAACTAGCAGGCCAACACACTACCATGTTCTTTATGATGAGAATCACTTCACAGCCGATGCGCTTCAGTCACTGACCAACAATCTCTGCTACACGTAATCCTCTCTCTTCCGCTCTCTCTTAATCTCTCTGTTGTGTTATGACTCTGATGATGGTTTAATTATGATCCATATGCAGCTATGCTCGTTGCACTCGTGCGGTCTCTGTTGGTGAGTTCCCTTTTTCAGTTTTCTGCCTTGATTTGCTTCAACTTTCATCTGTACTTTTTCTCTCCAAGTAGAGCATTCTTCTGTGGGCATTAATACTAGTAGCCTAGGGGCATCATCTGCCTTATGCCTCTGCTATTAAATTATTATGTTTTGCTTATCCTGATAGTCCTAGCAGCTGTAGACTTGTACTGTATTTGGCATTAGTATTACCTTGTACCCGCCTGTGTGTGCCTTCTCTGATGCAAGTTAGCAATCCAACCACACTGGTTTCTTTAACTCCTTAATGGATCTGTGCTTGAGGGCCTTTGGTCTAAAACTCTAAATAAGCATGTACTCCTGACAAAATGAACCTGAGTTTATAGATGAATACACCGAGTAGTTTTCATTCCTTTGCTAGTTTATTGATGAATAGACTGAGTAGTTTGCATTCCTCTGCTAGTTTATTGATGAACACACTGAGTAGTTTCATTCCTTTGTTCTGTGTCATCTATATATGTTTACATTGAAGTGAACCCTCTGCTAGTTTATTGATGAACACACTGAGTAGTTTCCATTCCTTCGTTCTGTGTCATCTATGTTTACACAGCATCTTTCCCCCTTGCTGTTTTAAGACTTGGTAACCTAGCTGTTGTTCTATTTATACAACCTGTGGCATCTACTTCCAGAAGAAGCTAACTTGGCTGAACTTGCTATGCAGTCCCACCGGCGTACTACGCCCATCTTGCTGCATTCCGTGCGCGCTACTACGTGGAAGGGGACAGCTCGGACGGCGGATCGACCCCCGGAAGCAGCGGTCAGGCGGCGATTGCGCGTGAGGGCCCTGTGGAGGTGCGCCAGCTCCCAAAGATCAAGGACAACGTCAAGGACGTCATGTTCTACTGCTGAGCTCCTGTGGAGCTGTTCCTTGTGCGCCCTGCCCTACCCTACCCTACCCTGAGTTGTGTGTGAGAGAAGCCTGAGATGGCGATGACCCTGTTTTGCCGTGGAGCCTGTTGCTCGTAGTTATCTTGTTCAGTTCGTAGTAGCCAGGAGGATATCTATGACTGTATTTGTTACCTTCAACTCTACTTGAGACCTATCCTATGCAAGTGGTTTAAGTTAACAAGTGGTTTTGCTAGTTGCCATATTGTTCTGTGCTATTCTTATCTTTGGGTTCTTTAAGTTTGATTCTTCTTATCTTTGTGGCTGGGATCTGGTGAACTATTTTGGTTCTGGATTTTGGGTTTGTAACAGGTGCAAGTCAGAGGAGCAACTTGTTTGAGTTTCTCTTGGCTTGCACTTGGGCTTGTCCAGAATCCAAAACCAAGCTGGTTTCCACAGCCGAATTGGCCTTTGAACAATTGATCTTTGATTTCACTACTGCAGAAGAGTTTCCAGAGTCATCTGCATAGTCTTGTTCCATTTGGAATTTTTAACACTAGATTTCTCAAAGAGAGTTTGCTTCCAAGGACAACTTTTTACAAGTGCCAGTCTGCATCTTCTTTTGCCCAATGAAAGAAGGCAGGATTTTTAGTTACCACTGTGCCAACTTTTCACAAGTGCCAACCTATCATAGTTAGTATGAATTTCATGGAGTTTGTGGTTACAAGACACTGGCTGTGTGTCCTTCTAAACTTGTTCCTATTGAGGCTGTTTGAGTTGCTCAGCTTGAAGTTTCACATCCAAATTGGTCAGCCAGGAATTGGCGTTTGCATAATACATCTTTGGTCTTATTGCACAGAAGTCTTGTAGACAGAGTTCCATGTTGTGTCGTCATAGACAAGTTCTGATAGCACAAGTTCCATGTTGCTTCGAAGGAGTAAAACTTCTCAAAAGCATCAGACTGCACCTTTCTTTTTCCTATGAATGAACTTCAAAAGGCAAGATTTTACTCCCAACAATGAATTACACACTCCCTCTGTTCACAAATATAAATTGTTTTGGAAATTTCAATATGGGCTCCATAGACTGAAATCATGTCTGTATACATCCGATTCTGAAAATAGTTAGAAAATCTTATACTTTTTGAACGGAGGGAGTAGTTAGTAGGCATACAACCGATCGCAAAAGCCTAACCGCTGTGTCACAAGATTCACAGCACACTTTGCTGTGTGCCATTCTAAACTTGTTCCTTTCTGGAAGCTTCAGGCTCTACTTTTGCATCAAGGGTGAATGAAATCTCTGTCAAAAAGCAAAAAGGTTCACAACACAGATAAGATACAAAGATGACAAGCTTCACAACACAGATATAAGCTACAAAAATGAAGTGGTTTACCACTTTATTTTTCTCATCCACTTTGAACATGTATACCTGGCTAACAGCCTGAAATTTGTGCGAGCCTATGTTTTTTCTTCTAACAATAATTAGCTCAAACTACACATAATATATCTGTCTCTTTTGTTGATTTCAAAAATATCCATCCCGCATGAAGGGCATAAGAATGCATAGCATACATATACAGATGCTTTGAATTTGTGCTACACCGTTATCTCCATTGAAATCAAGGTAGCAAGTGCCACAAAAACTTGATACAAACTATCCAATTGTTTGGTATGTTCATATTTTGGTACAGGAACTAATTCGAGCATGCTGACTCGGATGACTTCTGTGATGCGGGAGCTAGCCTGTAAGAACACACTATAAGCGAGAAACAGAGAACCAACTTCTAATAGCCCAATCAATGGTCCAGTTCTTTCTGCTGTGTGGGTATCTATCGCCTGTAGCGGTATCGCTTGAAGTTGAAATACAGATGAAGAATCCCACGCTCAAATGTGCACTTGAAGCCCTTCTTGTGTGAGTACTCCCACTCCTTGTTCACGATGCGGAAAGACTGCCAAGGAAAACCAGAGTAGGTAAGTGGATCTTCCATGGAAACTGCGACAGCAAAACTGAAAAGGTGAGGCAAAAGGCTTACAATATCCTCGTATGGAGGGCCAGCATGAAACCTTATATGGCATGTCTCCCCAGCGCTTCCATCTTTCTCTATAGTATATATTGGTGCTTTTGATTTATCCACAAGATCAGGGTAAAATATGTTGAACTTGTAGCCCTGGACGATTTTAGGAGGCGGGTTGTCGTGATCATAATGAGTTTGATTGTATTTGTTCCACTCATATCCAGTATGCACACGATTGAAGTACTTTGGTTTCCTTGGTCGGTACTTGTCATGCCACCAGTAAACCTGTGAGCACATTAAGCAAGTATGTGAGAATCCAGCTGAGAGCTTGAGAGAGAATGGAGGTTCACTAGCAATAGCTTGATGCGTCAAACTTGCTAGAATTTTCTAGCATGTAAAAGCATATTATCATCCAAATTGCTAAGTAGATGATATCAAATATAGCTTCAGAATAATATAAATATCCAACTCAAAAAAGTAATATTAATATATACACAACTTCAAATTCAATGAAATTTGCAATCCTTGGTTCCTGACTACAAGTGAATCCAGCATATCAGCATAATGCTGGAAATTACGGGTATGCATATAGTGATATATGTTTAGGAAGAATAATGATATGGTAGCACTCCTACATTCCTCAGATAATAAAGAAGACTGTAGTATTCTTTGTGTCCAGAAGGTAAATGAGTCTAACCTGTGAATCCAGGTTCACTTCAGCACCTGAACCAAACACAGCGTCCCCTTCCTCCATTGCTCCCATCGCTTTCATTGCCTTCAGCTCCAACTCATCTGGTTTTTTTGCCTTAGCTGTCATGACCTCCTTAACTTTCCTTTGATGCTCGGTAACTACAGCTTCACGTTGCCGATCCTGGAGAATATTTCAAAGGACAGAGCACATGTGTGAGACTGGCCAGCCAACCTCATTTCAAATTTGTAATGAACACATGAAATGTACCTACTCATGCAACAAATTGAGAGAGAAAAAAGCCCCCCTCCCCAGGGAAAGAAAATCGTTTTAAGTGTTCCAAAATAACCTTAGAACTAGGTTTTAGCTGGTTTCTCTTATTAACCGCTCAAAAATTTCTACTTAATGAAGAGGCAGAGCTCCAGCTGGTTGCTAAAAGAAGTCTGTGGTCCTAGGATGCATTAGCATTACCATCAGAAGTTACCCATAAATGAAACTAAGCTTTTTTCAGGGTAAACATGCATGAAGGCCTAGAACTGCTCGAAAGATTATCCTAAGATCTTGGTGGAATGTTGCCCTATCGCAACTTTACAATTATTTCTATCATAGGCTGTTGATTTAACTTGCTAGTGGCACAACAAGGTGTACTCAATTGCTATCGAGTAGTATATAATAATCTAATTAATAACAAGATAGTTTTGACTGCATACATAACCATTACTATACGGGCCAGCATTCTATTACTGTAAAAAGCACAATGCTACTGAGAGTGACTCTGTACCAGTTCTGCCTTGTCCTCATCAGGATCAATTGCATCTTCATCTTCATTGCCATGCATTAGCTCAGGCGAGAAGGAGCCATCTTCCTCATCCAAATGGCTCTCTGTTGCTTCAGCTATATGTTCTATAGGTTCTGGTGAATATCGTTTATCATCTGCACATGGAGAAGGTATCAGAAAGACAGACAACCATAGTTATCTAAAAGAAAGGGGCTGTTAACTGATGATAAGTAAATTTAAACCTTCTTCCTCGTCGTGCATCACATCCTCCTCTTTAGTGTCTAATTCTTCATCAGCTTCTACAGCCTGTTCAGGAGCGCCAGCATTCTCTAGACGATGCAGATGCTTACGTAAGAGAGAAGCATGGATTTCCCTCAGGCAAGCCTGTGATACAAATAAGAAATAAGCCACTCTTTTATATGAGAGGTAACGTTGATCAACTGTATGTTCAGATAGTTAGAGAACGCAGCTCCACATGACGAACCAGACTGCAAATCATGTGGCTTCGAAGATAATGTTACAGAAACAAGGTCAGATTAAGGTAGTTGTGCACCATTATGCTTGTGTTGTACAAATAAAACAAAGAATCTATAATGGTATAACCAGAAACCACATTTGCTTTGGTCAAATTAAGAGCTATTATCACAAAAACTGCGAACTACAAACATGACATACCTTTGCTTTGTATATATGAAGGCGTTTCAAAATGGCCTCCCAGTATTCAACAACTTTTGCAGTTCCAGAGCGCATCTGGGACTCAATTTGATTTTGCATCTCTTCTAGCTCTGTGGAAGTCTTACCCTCCAAGAGATTTTTTACATCCCCCTCAATACTTGCATGCAAGCCTCTCTCTTCAACCTCACGGGGTGGTTCCTCACCACGGACCCTAGCCCGGTCCACGGCATCTCTTTTCCGAGCCTCGCCTAGCTCCCAATCACACACTACCATGAGTGCCTGATGAGTTCCAAATTAAATTGTGTCAACACATATAAACATTATCGATAAACATACAGCCATGAAACGAAATAAACTTAATATTAGCGAGATTTCTTGCCATATTACAAACTCACTCTCAAGTTTGGTTTCGTTTCAGTGAGAAATTAAGGGTTAGATTGTATATACCAAAGCTAAAGAACATGTCCTGACATACCATACGAAAATAGAAAATGACAGAACAAAATACCAAATACTGTCAGCTGAGGCTGCCAACTACTATTTAGCTCATTCAGCAGTAATACGGTGTGTATCATTGGAATAGATGACTCAGGATTGCTATGGGACGAACAATATTCAGGAAGGTGTGCAAAGACATTAGACATGTACCTCCCAGTACTTGACATTTACTTGGCTTTCCCTGTCCAGATCGAGATGCATCTTAATGTCATCATGTAACTCTTCCATCTCCTTCACTGTTAATCCCTGCAATTTAGCAAATTACATATGCTTCAGTAATTGTCGAAGAAAGATGGATCCCCTTAAAATGTGGGCTTGTTCTATGAAGGTAGTGGGGCCACATGGCACAGCTATGTTTTAATACATTGAA